ATTTTAGTAAGTCCTCAAACCTTATCTTGTCTTTCATCCGCGTTGATAACATTGGTGGTGAGCTCAAACAAAACCCCCAAAGGACTAACACATTTAAACATGACAGAATTTAACTAAATAACATAAACAAAATTTGATGTAGGTGAGTAAATAACCCATACGTTTAGCCATTGAAGATTGAACCAATGAGAAGAACCTGAGAAAAATAATCCTTTTTTCTCTCATTAACAGATTAGCAATGAGGTTGAAACCATTATACTTAAAATAATATTTATAGATTGGTGACAAGGTGGATGTACATCAAAGAACTTCATTCTCCCACTTATCCAGTCATAGGATTTCCATTGACTCATTTCCACGATTCTATCTACAACCACCTCCTCTTTCTTAAACTGCACCTATTTTCTTTTTAACCATATGGACCATACCATGCCAAACAAAACAACTTCCCATACCCTGATTTCATTTACCGTTCCTCATCACCAAGCAAGTTGAATGAAAGCCTCTTTTGATATATCTATGGTTTATCAAATCAAGTAAAAAAAACCTCTCTGACACATCCAAACTTAGAAGGGGAGTCAATATTTTGTTTCATTAACAGTTGCATTAGTGGTCAATATAAAATTAAACTAAAAAAGTGTTTTAAGTACATGTAGCAGGGTAAGAGCAAGGGCTAAAGTCAATAACTCTAAAAATTAGGTTAGCCATAAACAGGCTGAGCGAAGAGACCAACTACAAAGACCAAATTTTAATTACCCAGTAAAGGAAGACACTTAATCTGAACCTAAACACCTCGTAAAAAACTCTAAACTCATTTAAGGAATTGTTGCAATAGGAAGACAAAAATAAAATCAAACAATTAACAAGAGAAGAAGAAGAAGAAGAAAGAAAGAAACTAACTCTGCGTAAAAGGATCAAAACCTGAACAATAAGTATGCAATACAGCACTATCTATGTGAGTATAAATCTGAGAGTCAGGCAGAGGAAGAGAGCGATCAAGAGCCAAGACAAAGAGTTTGGTTGAAACTTGGAAGGAAGAATCCGAGAAAGCGGCAGTTTCACGAAGAAAGAAACTAAGAGATTAATTATATTGGAAAAATAGGGACCACTTAACGTCCCTAAAGCATCAGTAATTAAATATCAATACAATCCCCAAATTTCAACCCTGTAGCTTTAGGCTTCCCGTTGCCTTATGGTCAAATTAATCAACAAAATCAACATTGGAGGTTTGAACGCTTTAAAATTTTTCAAACTCAAGAGTGATGTACCTTTTAATCTCAATTTCTAAACACCCAACTCATGGAATGTTCATCATAGTAACCAAAACACGAAAACCACAAATTTTAGGTAATAGGAACCGGCGTGGATACCAAAGGCAACTCAATTTCTCCAATTACAGTCATGCATTCAAGATCAGATACGGAATTAAAAGTACCAGAATCCCTTACATTGCAATCTTGATCATGAATCTGGCCCTGAGTTGTATGAATCTGGGTTTGGAATGTTTGGCAGACCTCCAGTGCCGGTGAGTTCCATCCGTCATTAATTGCTTGTATCATGAAAAACCCATCCCTCAGAGCATTCCTTATGGCTGTCCTTAGAGCATTCTCCATGGATGACAACCTCTCCTCCAAATTTGCAAAATCAGCATCATGTTTTCTCTGGAATTCAGAAAACTCTCTTTATAGTTCTTGAAAATCTGTATCTTCAGCCATGGCTTCTATACTGATGAATCTTGATTCGGGTTTGTAGGGTTTACAGGATAGACAGAGGCGATAGAAATGGAATTTTGGGATTTTGATGAAATTGGTACCACAGATCAAGAGAAGAGAAGCTCTGATACCAATTGACTGCAACCAAACCAGAAATGGAGATTAGAAAGGAAGAATTAGGGATTCAGTAAAGAATTTAGAAGAGAAGCAGGAGGAGGAATGAAGAAGACAATAGAGAAGAAGAGAGAGGTCGAGAAGGAGAGGAAGAACCATATTTCATCATTCATCAAAATTCATTTCAGTTACACACATTTTGGATGTTTAAAGGATTCGGCTGGATTTTACTTTGGGTGTGTCAAATTTTAATTTATCCCCAAATAAGGTTCTAAATTCCATATAGGGAATCGAGGCCCAGGTGCCTAAATTTCATATTATTTAAAACGTTTTTAGGGGAAAAATTTTATTGTCCGAAGAAAATTAAATAAAGATAAGGCATTCCCAATTTAGATTTTGAGATGAACAACTAACTCGTTTCTATTATTAACAAAGTTCACAATATTGCAAACAGGCACAACACAACAAATTCATTCACCATAGTCGGCCCCAAACATCACTTTTCTTATGGTGCAAAATTCAACACAATTAAGTGGAACAGCAAAAACAACATAGCGAAAAGAAAACACACGACCAAATGTAAAATTAAACACAACGATGTGGAATAACAAAAACAACATAGCGAAAACACAACACACGACCAAATGTAAAAACGGTAATCCTTAGAAATCAAATATGCATACATACACTTGAAATGTTTTAGAATACGTCAGTCCACACCTCCTTACCGAACAGCTTGATCCTTCTTCTTGCTCCAATCCTGTAAAGCTCCGGGAAACCATCTACACGCTCAAATATGATTCTGTCTCCAACTTTCAATCCTTTCTCGAAGACATAGCGGCGCCACCCAGATCTCAAAACGGGACGTGGATTGCGGTGTCGTCGGACGTAGTAGCCGAACTTCCACGCACTTCCACCCACATCCACGACTGTTATATTTTCAGAGCGTCCTCCTTCAACCCGTCGCATGTGATTCCTGGCGAATCGAGTTGGGATTACCAACATGGAACCTTCGTCTGTTCTCTTTAATTCCTTCTCAAAACTTGCCATCCTAGCTAGCAGAGTGCTTGGTGAAACCTGAAAGTTGCATACTCTAATGTTTCTGCCTGTGCTTTATAGAGTGTTGTTTAGGAAATGGGATCACGGTGACTGCAATTTATAGGCATACAAAAACAATTAAACAAAAGATAAATTAATTAAAAACAACGGCTTTGGGAGCATCAGAGCCTGTATGTGGATCACATATTGCATGGCCTCTACCAATGCTATATCTTTTGGACATGGTAGGGGAGGGGGCCCATCCTGGTGAGAGGTTCAGTTAATTGCAATGCCTCTTTCTTTCCTTTTCCTCGGGACTCAGACCAAAATTCCAAGAGAGTGGTGACTGGTCTTTTATATGTGTATATTTACATGACTATTTTTTTAATAATTATTGTAATAAAAAATAAAAATTAACATGTCTTGATAACTTGCCTTTAATCTCAATTATATGAAAAATATGATTAAAATTTACATTATATTTCATTTATTTTATGTTTATAATTGAATATTTTG